TGCTGCCCAAATGTGCCCGCTGAGAGATTCGGGCACAGCAGGACTCCGGCTACTGCTTGAAGAGTTAGTAGTGGCCGCTCTTTTAAGATCTAACCCAAACAAGAGGGTCATGTCTGAAGTATTTCTTTGCATCATCAAGTTTCCTGATTTTCAGTTTCAAGATTTCTTCGTTCCTACTAAATTAATGTGAATATCTCTACTATGTTTTCTATTTTGTTAATATTTATATATAGCAGCATTTTCAATTTATTCACCATACCATGTGTACCTCTTTCAGCAAAGTTAGAAACTGCACAACCTCCACCACCAAACCCCCATTGTTTTCAGGTATCTGCTTTTCCTGAAGAGATTCCTTGAACTTTTGGATACTAGCCCATTTCTGGGACTCACTAGCTTTCTCCATTCTGTAAGTCATATCCTTGCTTCCAAATGGGGTGAAAACTAACTGAATTATCAGTTATTCGTGGGATGCCAGCAGAAGCATACACCTCTTGGTCCAGTGACATGCTAGGTGAAAAGGATAAACACAGAAAAAATCTGCTTCTGAGTGTCTCCTTACATTTCCAAGAAGAAACAAGCCAGATGAACTAGAGAGAGAGAGGAAATGCAAGCAGGACAGTTGACCCCAGATAGATCAGTAATCATTATCCAGTGTCAGTGATACCTTAACAAGAGGAGGTCTTGCAAGGAGCAACACCGTAACAAGTTTATTTAAGTGTGCACCAGAGGAGGGAAGAACTGCGAGTGTAGCCCAGCCCTAAGGGAGACTGCAGTATGAGCTCACAACACACAGGTAAAAAATCTGCTTTGAAGAGAGACCTAATAAGTACCCAGTTATGGGGAAAAAAAAAAAATCTCATCTAATGATCATAGGTGCTACTGAAACATAAATCCACAGAATTAAGGCTCACAGAATTTATTGATTTAATGAAATCTTCTGTCAGCATCACCTGTTCTTGAAAGCAGGCTTTTCATCATAAGTGACTTTGCACTGGCCCAGCTCCCCATGAGCAACTGAGGAGTTGAGGTCAGATGTGTCTCACAATCTGAGCACAGGGAGTGCCAGTCTTCTGTGGTCAGAAATGCAGCAAGCTTTGGGAATTCAGTGGCTTGCTTTCCCTTCCACCCCCACATCTTCATATAGCTAAGCTAATAAAATAAGCAAGTTTGACATGGTAAGTAGGAGATATATTTAGGCAGTTCTTTGACCATTACCAAGCTGACAGTTTTCTCCTCTTCAGTTACGCATTCTCCTACACTTTCATGTTAGTTGCCTCATTGTGTCCACTCACAATAAAAGCTTTCCCTGTTTAACCACCCAGAATGTGTTCAGAGGCCTTAAACTTCAGGTGATTTACCCCTTCACGGTGACAAAGCAAGTCTTTTGTCCCTCCTCCCCAGGTAAGCAAATATTAGGATGAAGAAGATCTTTAGAAATGGCAAGGGTAGAAGAAAATAAGTTAAAGCACTAAGGCATAAGTTGGAGAAAGCAGACTATTTCCTTGTTGTATGAATACATTTTTAAAATAATGTCTAAAGTACAGGTAAGGAGATAAGAACTGGATAAATTTTGTTCAAAATAGACTCGTATACTAAAAAACGATAACATTGTACAGTTTAATACTCAGTGTAAAGGCATTTTTTCAGTTGCTTAAAATGTCACTAAAGCAGAGCAAATTACAACCTGGTGCTTCCTGCAAATGTGTTGACACAGTTCATTAAATCAGTCATTCTTCTTGACAGCTTTTCAATATATTTCTGAAACGTGACTCTCTAAGTGTACTCAGTGGATTATATGCAGGAGCATTTGCGTGTTATTCTTATCCATTCCAACCCGAAAGGAGGATTTTAGCATCATCTTCAGTTCTGTACCTTAAATTCCCATACACTTCATTAGAAGTTAATCCCTTGATTTCTGCTCTTCTCAGAGGTCATATGTTACCATCTTTTTGTATTTGCTTTCATGATCTTATATTTGAAGAGGCAAATCACCTGGAGTTGATTTACATACCACTACAGAAAGGGGTTACATACTGTGTCAGGGAAAATGTAAAACCTTGGCAAGATGAAGTAACTGATACCTCTCTGAAATATTTTCCTTGAAAGTTTTCACTGGGACACACATAGAATTACACTGCAGTTTTCAGGGCTGGGTGAGGTGATTTCCTTGAGTGCTTTAGAAGCTTTCACGTACCCAGTGTCTGGGAAAGCAGAGAGTATCCATCACTCCATGGGACTACATCTGTTCTTTGTGTTTGATATAATAATGTATGAATGTGGGAGCTGATCCTTCCAAGTGAACCTCCCATCTTTGTCTTCAGTGACCCTATTTAACAAAACTTAACATGCTGTTCCAGGCAGCATACAGATATTAGAGAAATGGCTGATGGGGTGTCAGGAGTAACAAGCTGACATTTGTTCTCCCCCTGCTACCCCAAGATACTACTTTTTCACCAGCTATTAGGCTTCAATAAGTATAATCAAATTAGTTTTCTGGCTGAGCTGAGCTTAGCAACATCCTGTCCTTTGAGTAATTTAGGCTGTCTATGTATAGAAGCCTCTTCACATTTCTGTATATCTCTGACTGTGCTAAGGCCCTTTCACCCCTCATTCTTCATGCACTTATTGAACTGAATTATTTTGTTCACACTTGATAATACACTTTATTTGCAAATCTCATCTTTGATATTTCATTTTTGTTATATAGAAACGTTCCAGATTTTTAAAAAGTAAAGGCAAGGGAATTTACTTTCTTTGATTTTTATTTTCCTCTCCAAAAATAATTAACAACTTTGTTTGATTTTTTCCCCTTCTCCAGGAATGGTGTTAATCACGATTAACATCTCCTGCATTTGTGATTCATACTAAGTGTATAATATAACAGTGGGTATTGTTATCAATACTTTGCTCCCATATTAGTGAGGTAAGATAAACATAATCAGAGACAGCCAAGAAAATACAATTTCCTCAGCATCCAGTCTATCTTCATAAATTATTTTATTTCTCTGTTGTAATTCGTTTTTTCTTTCCTTCTGTTTTAATTCTCTTTTCTTATAAACTCTTCTTAAGTTTGGGCAGGACCTGCTGTGAAGAACAATACAGTTTAGGTATATGTTTCTTCTGCCTTGGGGAAATATCATCAGAGACTGGTTAGAATTCCATGGACCAATATTACTGAAGCCTTGATTTTTATTCTCCACCTTCTAGCAAAGATGTTGCAGCTGCAGTTTTCTTTTCTGCCTTCTCTTGTCTTTCTGAAAATAAATCTTCACCACTCTGTGGCAGTAAAACAGAACGGTAACTGTTCTCATCTTTGGTGCTTCTTATCACTGTCAAAATAAATACATCTGTGCAACTGAAACGTGAAACGACGTCTTCACTTTTTGGAACCAGCAAATATTAACAACTGCAACCTGTCATCTGAGAAGAAAACAAACAGTTAAGATTAAATTTATGCTAAAAATTTTGTATCGTTCAGAAATACCGTGGTCCATACCTTTACAAAGGAGTTCATTGAGATTATGAGGTTATGATAACAGTGACCATGATGTTCATGCTACTGAGTTGCTGAGATGGCACCAAATAACAGCCGAGCTTCCTAAAAGTGCTAAACACAGAACTAAAGCAAAAGAAATCTAACAGCTGCTACCATGGGCCACCCACTGAAAACACATTAGAAGAATTGTTAGGGTTATGCATAAAAATTCACTGAAAGGACTCCCCTGAGATCTAACGTGTATTGAGAAAGAAAATACCCAGAGGGAGAGCTGAGTCCACTAGGAGGGCTTTAGCACACCAAATGAAACAAAACATGTTAGGGGCTTGTGGCTTCCCTTCATGAACATTTAGCCCAGTTTGAAGACAGAGGAAGCTGAAGACTCCCTGCCTGGCCGAGTCCCTCGTGTGCTACCCAGAGCTGGGCAGGAAAGGCAAACCCGCTGTCTTAAGCAGCTGCTGGAAGTACCCAAACGAGAAAACCCTACTGGTCACTAATACCTGTATTTTACATATTCTGTGCTAATTATCAACGGTAGAACGATATTTGTGTGACTGTACTGCATAGTGAATATGTATTTGATTACTGGTCTATTACAATAATTTCTTGGTCCTTTTGCATGTTAGAGGGTATCGCTTGACACGGAAGCTTAGGGCTTTTTTTCTTTTTTCTTTCTTTTCTTAAACTATTTTTTTTAAATTTTAGCTCACAAAGGAAAAAGAAGACCTTTCAACAACTAGAAAGCATTCCAGCGAGTTTTTATTACCAGTTTTCGAATGGAGCTCAACTCGCTCAAACACCGCAGCCGGGCGAGGCTGCTGCTCCCCCTGGTGGGTGCGGGACCCAAGGCAGAGCGGCAGAGGGCCGGGCTTGGTCTCTGTCAGAGCCGGGTTTGATGCTCCTCAGAGCCGGGTTTGATGCTCCTCAGAGCCGGGTTTGATGCTCCTGAGCCGCGCCCGAGACCTCAGACCTCCACACGGCGTTCCCGG